ATGGAAAAAGTTAGTTGGATTGAAGAATGAAAATTTGAATTTTTCTTTTAAGAAAATTAAAAGAAGAATAAAAAAGTAATTTAAACCTAATTAAAACAATTTGCCCATCAATTTTCGACAAATTATTTTACATTGTATCACTTAATGGACTTCACCTCAATTTCAACCTATACCTTTTCCGAAAACCAAAAATAAAAAATAAAATAAAAATATATATATTTTACCTGAATCGTTTGTATGGTTCTTATCCAATTTGGATTCAGTTTAGAAAGTTTCAGCCCTCATTTTGGTTCTACTTTTTAAAGAACCTTTAAAATAGTCTAATTCTAGTTTCACATTGTAAACCAAACAATGTCCCCTCTTAGGAAATTAAACCTACTGTTTTTGACATTTACACACAGTGATTTGGCAAAAGCCAAAAATGTTAGTGGAAATAAGGACACATTCTTCCTCTAGGAAGTTTCACCCCTCATTTTTGGTTCTACTTTTTAAAGAACCTTTAAAACTATTTTACATGGTTTAGGAAATCAAACTTACTGTTTTTGATATTTACACACAGTAATTTAGCCAAAAAGCCAAAAAAATGTAATGGAAATAAGGACATTCCTTCTCTGATGGTGCCATCATTTGAACTGCATTACTTTTCCTTTTTGTCTAAAGCAAATTGGGATGGAGTGACCCCCTAATCATTATGGATAAAAAAGTTTGTGAAAACTTATATGAATGACAACTTAATCACCCACAATAATACAATGAACTCTCATATGCATTAAAGTGGAGTCATATGTGGGTCCCAATTTAATGCATCTTCGGCTTTTGATTGGCTTTTTCATTTTCGGAGGATATATTATCTACAAAGCGAATTCGAATTCTGATTGGCTTCCCTGTTTTTTTGGAAGGCAATCATTATTCATATTATATAAAAAGTGGTCAATTAAAGTGCAAAAAATTGATCAAATAATTGATCATGAGATTAAGTATTTTATTATAATAATCAAATAATAGTAATAAATAAAACATAGGAGGTGTTACTGGATTACATGATTAGGCTAGTGGGAAAAGGGAGGGTCCAAGAAATTAAAAACATATACTATAATTTAAGTAAATTATGAGCCCTTCATGTCTCAATTTAACACATCTTCTTAATTTGCAGTAGGTGAATGGGTCCACTAGTCCAAAGAGAAAAATCACAAATATATAAAAGTTGGACTAATAGGTTTTAATTCATTTGTGGACATGTCATGATCATCAAAAAAATGAAAATGAAATATCAATGTACTAGTGGGGGATGACCCATTCATTAATTCTGTGTCTTTGGGTACATGGTATTGTTCAAAGAAAGAGATAAAAACAAGCTTGAGATATGAATCTATGATCTCATTAACTTTTTCTTCCTTTTGGTCCAATGGGCAATAACTGAGGCTATGTGACAAGTGAAGTACTCTCAAATAGGTTTGTCAATTAATAGAATTTTTATCCAGTGTCCCATCCCACAACTAGAATATGGATTATGTATATATTTAATTTAATAAATCGGTAACAATTTGAATTTGTTAATCTATTTATTAAATGAAGTATATATAAATTATGACAGATTTTGATTTAACATAATATAATTCGATAAATCGGTGATGATTCAAATTTGTTAATATATTTATTAAATGAAATGTATATAAATTATGACGGATTTTGATCTGACGTACTATAATTCGATAAATCGATAATGATTCGAATTTGTTAATATATTTATTAAATGAAGTGTATATAAATTATGACAGATTTTGATATGACGTAATATAATATATATTATTTAGGATAAAGTTTAGAAAACACTCTTAAAGTATATCTTGCTATCACTTTTATCTTTTATTTTAAAAATTGTGCTAATAGCCCCCTTATTTTTTAAGCAATGTGTGGAAACACTCCTGAAACACAAATCTACGTAAAATAATGTTGTAATACTCGTTATAACCTTTTACGCTTCAAAAAATGTCAAATGAGGTGTGTATGCTGGGGTGTTAGGTGCATATTAACTATAAGTTTTTGTGTCATTTTTCATCATTTCACAAAATGATATTTTAAAATAATTTGTAAAATGTTTCCGTAAGAGTAATTTAGTCAAACACTACCTCAAATGTGTTCGGGGGTCTTATTTGCACAAATTAAAACTTTTGAGATGTTTTTCAGCACATGAGAGGAGTGATACGCACATTCTATAAACATATTATGGAAATATTTTATGCACTTTATCCATATTATTTACATAGTATACAATATTTTAAACATTAGTTTTCTTCTTCTTCTCAATTCCCTCTCTCACTAATCGTTTTTACTTCATTTTTTCAACACTTTTAATTTGTATTTCTTCTTTGCTTTTTTTCTTTTTTTTCTAATCATTGTTTGACTCTCTCCTTTCAGATTAATTAAAAATTTTATTTATCAAATACCCTTAACGGATTAAATTATATATTTGATTAATAACAAATTGTATGTATATGAATTCACTTATAATAATATAATATGTCAAACTATTGAATTGGATCGAATCAAAATTGTTACTAAGAGATTCTGATTTGTCTACACGTCTATTATTGAACCCTCCATTCGAAATTTGAACTTGCATCTTCCTCTAACAAGAAGTAAGAGATACTATCTAAACTATAGAGGTGTTTTGATATCATTAAATAATTTAATTATCATGTGTTTTATCATAAACCCTAATTTCATTTTTCTCTCCGTAAACCATGCCCAATGCCTTCATGTTATTGTTAGAAACCACAAAAGAGTGTATTCTCCAAAACTTTTCCTTGAACAGTATTGAAATAACTGTGCCAAACGAGTTTTAAATTCTATTTTTTGAAATCTTAGAAAACAGAACCAAATAACACGGTTGATATGAATCCAAGTGACTATTTTAAGTATTAAAGTAATGCTATTGTCATATTCATATATATATATATATATATATATATAGAGAGAGAGAGAGAGAGAGAGAGAGCCGGGGGGTGGGGGGGTAATAATTTGTAAGTAGTAAACTAGTAAGGTGTTCATCAAATCAATGAAAGAAAAAAACATTAGTCGTGTGGGCTGTAAAGGGCTCTTGTAGGGCCGTATAGGTCGAATCTCCACAACTATAATGTGGTCTAAAAAAGCACATTTGGCCCACATTCATCCAGTTCAATGACATAAGCATGATTAGATAATTGTTGGTCAAAATTATTATAAAAATCACATCCTGGCATATCACATCATTAATATATTAAATTAAGAAAATTTTAACAAATTAGGCAGCAGTTTGTAAGTTATATAACACAGATATCAAATTGCATTGTATGATAAATTTTCATTGACTGAACATATCAATAATATGACAGACACATTCATTATTTTTCAACTATTTATTTATTTATTTATTTTTGTGTTAAAATTCGCCCCTTTTTTTTTCTTTTTTCTTTTTCCTTTCTTTTCTTTTATAGGGGTTTTTCTAGCAAACTTGTTTTTTTTTTTTTTAATGAATTAGAACACTCATTAGAAAGTCAAAGGTATGTGTAATCAATTATCAGATCCATAAAAATGGGATATACCCTTTGACCAAAAATAAATAAATAAATAAATAAAATGGGAAAGAAAAGGAAAAATTGTCTTTGATATTAGTATGAAAGATATTTATACACAGAGCAAAGTTGGTTTAAGATGAGATTCATTTTGGTTTGAAAGAATCTAAAACCAATAATAATCATAGTGTTATTGTGTGACACGAGGTGGCATTATCACACACACATGGTGTGTGAAAGCACAAGCTGCAATTGTCCTCGAAAACTCGTGCCTGAGAAAAGTCAAGAGCAGTGTAACTTCCGTAGAGAAGCAGCCAAACTCATTGAATATGACTTTTTTTTCAGAAGTCAAGCCATAGCTACGTACACTATCCGTTAAGGTCTCCTACAATGTTTTTTTTTTCTTGTTCAATGCGTTTAAAATGGTTTCATACATACACATACAACTAGGTGGTACTAACGGTTAGCTAGCTGAATCCACGTACGATTAAAGTACAAGTACCATGTTATTTGAGCGGTTCGGTTGCACTTTATGTTTGGAAGTTTTTCTTAATAATTAACTACAAACTCTTAATGTTTTTTTTTTCAAAAAAAAAAAAAATTAATGTTTTATATTTAGATCAAATCAAAAAAAAAAAAGTTCTTTTCATAATCTCTTGTAATTAATGTGTACTCGTTTTTTATGGCCAAAGTTTCATTGTTTAAGGTCTAAAATTACATATATATTTTCATAAAAAAATTAAATTAAACTTTTTGAGTCTTGTACCCTCTTCCTAACAATTAACTATCAATTCTTAACATTTCTTGTTTTGAAAAAAATAATAATAATAATATTTTATATTTAGATCAAATTTTTTTTTAAAAAAAATAGTGTTTGATTCTTTTGTTTTTTGTTTTTTTCATAATCTTTTGTAATTAATTATCAGTACTTTTTTTTTTTTTTTATGGCCAAAGTTTCATTGTTTAAGATCTGAAATTACATATATTTTTAAAAATAAAAAATAAAAAATTAAACTTTTTGAATTTAAAATTGTCTAACAAATTATTTTTTGTATCCCTTACCACAATATATTAAATAAAATGAAAAGATATTTAATGTAACTGATTCAACAACATACCAAATACAAGCAATCACGTTATATATCTTGTCAAATATAATAGGAAGTTCACTCACGCATCCACTCTCACGTTGCAAAATGGGAAGATGTAATTTTTAGTCAATGTGAACTGGCATTAGGCTGTGCTACAGTCATATTCTCGTTTCCCAATGTAAATTAAGAAACATAAAAGCGTTGAAATCACGTTTACTCATAGTAATAATTATATTTAACGCACACATATTTTATTCAGGACTTAGTTAATTTTTTTTGAAAATTTATTTACTTTAACCATTCCAAACTCATTATTAATTCAAGCCTTCAGAATTGAAATACTTTCCCACTGTATAAAACACACAGTCTCACACACAGACGCACACACAAAGATCCCTTCCTCATGGAATCTATCCCCCCTCTTTCTCAATCTGTCCCTATATATACTCACACGTAACACATTATATCTTCATCAGTTACGTGCTCATATTTCAAACTGTACACATCTCTCTCTATCTTCAATGGAGATCGAGAACGGAACAGCCGCGGCACTGCCGCCAAACCCCAGAACGTCGCAGCTGACTCGTCTGAACACGTTCGTCGCCGGGAGCAGAGTCGGCAAGCGCTTCAAACTCGCCGAGCGGAACACCACCTTCACGACGGAGCTCCGAGCCGGCACCGCCACGTTCCTCACCATGGCCTACATCCTGGCCGTCAACGCCAGCATCGTCGCCGACTCCGGCGGCACCTGCTCAGTCTCAGACTGCATCTCCCTCTGCTCCGACCCCACCGTCCCCGCCGCCTCCTGCTCCGGCGGCAACCTCAGCGTCGTCCCACCCGACGAATCCTGCAAATTCGAGCCGGTCAATCAGGGCTACACCGACTGTCTCGAGAAAATCCGCAAAGACCTCATCGTCGCCACCGTCGCTTCCTCTCTCATCGGCTGTGTCATAATGGGAACCTTCGCGAACCTTCCACTAGCTCTCGCCCCTGGAATGGGCACCAACGCCTACTTCGCCTACACAGTCGTCGGCTACCATGGCTCCGGCAACATCTCTTACCAGAGCGCTCTCGCCGCCGTTTTCATCGAAGGACTCATTTTCCTCTTTATATCCGCAATTGGGTTTCGAGCAAAACTGGCCAAACTCGTCCCTAAACCGGTCCGAATCTCATCCTCCGCCGGAATCGGCCTATTTCTCGCCTTTATCGGTTTACAGAACAACCAGGGAATCGGACTCATCGGTTATAGCTCATCCACGCTCGTGACACTCGGCGCGTGTCCGACTTCCTCACGCGCCTCCCTTGCTCCTGTTTTCACCGCCGCCAATGGCACCATCAGTCTCGTCCCCGGCGGGACCGTCTCCGGCGATATATTCTGCGTTCGCGATCGCATGGAGAGCCCCACATTCTGGCTCGGCATCGTGGGCTTCGTCATCATTGCCTACTGTCTGGTCAAGAACATCAAAGGCGCGATGATATACGGCATCGTATTCGTCACCGCCGTGTCGTGGTTCCGCAACACCTCCGTCACGGCGTTTCCGGACACCGCCTCCGGCGACTCCTCTTTCGAATACTTCAAAAAAGTCGTCGACGTTCACGCGATCAAGGACACGGCCGGTGCGTTGAGCTTCAAGAGCATTGGGAAAGGGCATTTCTGGGAAGCTCTGATCACGTTCTTGTACGTCGATATATTGGACACGACGGGGACGTTGTATTCGATGGCGAGGTTCGCCGGATTCGCCGACGTCAACGGCGATTTCGAGGGGCAGTACTTCGCCTTCATGTCGGACGCGTCGGCGATCGTGGTGGGTTCGTTGCTGGGGACGTCGCCGGTGACGACGTTCATCGAGTCGTCGACGGGGATTCGGGAGGGTGGACGGACTGGGCTGACGGCGATCACGGTGGCGTGTTACTTCTTGCTGGCGTTCTTCTTCACGCCGCTGCTGGCGTCGATACCGGCGTGGGCGGTGGGGCCGCCGCTAATACTGGTGGGGGTGTTGATGATGAGATCCGTGGTGGAGATCGAATGGGACGACATGAGGCAGGCGATCCCAGCCTTCGTGACGTTGATTTTGATGCCGTTGACTTATTCAATTGCGTATGGTTTGATCGGAGGGATTGGGACTTACATGGTCTTGAATGCATGGGATTGGGGTGAGGGGGGTTTGAGGAAATATGGGATTCTTAAGGGGGTAAATAGTAATGGGAATGTTGATAACAGGGGCAATGGAGCAAATAACGGGGCTAATGTGGATGGTAGTGCAAAAGTTCTTGAAGCGTAAGTGTATAGGGAAGGTTTAGATCCTTTTTATTTTTTTAGTTATTTTTGTTCAATTAATGGATTATTCCAATTTTAGGGATAATAATAGAGAGGGAGAAAATTGTATTTTTAATGGTATAGTGTAAATGATTTCTCTTTGGTTGTTAATTAAAAAATTTACAATTTACGTTACTAGTTGGCTTGGAGTTGGAGATGTCTCACAAATGGGAACTATAAGGTTTAACAAATGGGAATGAGATTAGAATGTTGAAGATAAATTTGTACTTTCGAAGAAAACAAAATCAGAATAATTACATTGAAATATCTAGAGATTTGAACAAATTATGCATGAGTTATTTTGACCTATCCTAAATTTAATGTAAGCAATATACGTGGTTGGGATGCTTCAAATTTTATTGTAAAGTAATAAACGTGGTCTAGTCTATTCGTTTATAATTTGTCCAAATTTCAAGAACATCATTGTAATTTATTCAAAATTATAAAATATGGTACTTTCAAATTTTAATTTATCATACTTAGCTTAAAAAGGTGTAATTAAAATCTTAACCTTCCAAAGTAGAAGGTTGATAGTTCAAATTTTGATAGGAAAAACTGAATGTATTAGGTCCTTGTTAAAGTTTAAAAATTTATTAATTTCTATACACAATATATATTTATTATTAAGGGTGATAGGTCGAGAATCAAAAATGACTGTAGCAAGTAATAAAATAAAATGATATTGGTAAATAAAATAAAAGAGGATGGAGGAGTGTACTGAGACTTTTCTCATTATAAAATTAATCTTCAAGTTACAATGGATCAATTTTACCCTTACACCAAAGTCCATTCTTTTATTGATACATGGACCAAAAAGATAACAATTAAAATTATAGAAACACTCATTTCTAATCTCATGAAATATGAGTACAAAGATACATTTTTCTTTTTCCAAAACCAGGCGTTACTGACATAAATAAATTCTAAGTGAAAATGGAATGAAGTGGTCCTTAGATGATGACCCAAAAATTGAAAGTCCCGCTCACTTTGAACTTGGGAGCATCCTTAAGTTTCACATCTCTCTCAATCGATTGGCATTTGACAATTTTATTGGGAAATGCCACTTATAGTGTTATTCAAAATTGTCAACGGCCTTTTGACATTAACACCAACTTACCCCAAAAACAAAAAATTCAACCATTCTAGCACCTACTATCAGAACTGATGTGGCCACCACATTGTTCATATTGCAAGGTTGGACATGCACTTTTCCAATTGGGAATTGCATCCACCTTTGCAAGTTTTGATCAAGTGGTTTTTGACCATTGGTTGGCATTTTGAATCCTAGAATGGGGAGGGAGATTTCTAATGGGGAACTTATTTATGATGCATTGTCGTCTTGTCGGTGTTTAAATAAGAAAAATTTTATAATGGGCAACACATGATTGTCGACTAAAGCGCAGAGCCTGAGTTGAGTGAGGCCACACCTGTGGTGACTTAGTCTGCAATTGGGTGTCATCCATTATAGATTTTTTCTTAAACAAGTGTATTTATTAATACCAAAATGATTATTATTACAATTGACGCAAGAAACTCATACGCTTATTTTGTTCTTTTAGGGTCTTAAACCCTGACCTTCTACTTTGAAAGATGAAGAGATATCATTAATTCATAACACAACGTCTCAAAACAGCATCTTTCAACGTCCTTCATTTTCTTGATAACTCTACCAAAAAAATTATGCTACATTGGAAATTAGAGCAACACCAAATTTATACTTAATTGGCACCAAATAATGTTTGTGAGTCTATGTCAATGACATATTGCCATTTTCTTTCCAAAAATAATGGTTTCACTGAATGGTGAATGCCTTCGCCCTTGAGGTGCAGAGAGTGTTTAATGGTACATCTACAAAGGTCAAAGGTGAGTTAATGGAGTTCCCAACTTGCCCTGGTCCAGATAATGACAGGGTTGGGTTATGTTTGGTTATACATGTTAAACTTGAGAAAATGAAATGACTAAAAATTATTGCTATCAGTTTCATAAAGGACATTATATTTCTAGCCAAGTGCGGAGTAAGAAATTTTGATTTGACAAATATGACCCGAAATCCCTCTCAATCTGTTACGAGTGGAGGGCTCCTCCTCCTTTTCCTTCATCAAACTTCGATTCGTATTTTTAATAAAGAAATATCACGGTTGTTATGGGCGTTTTTGTCATCTTAGTCTCATAACACTTTAGTTTTTTCCTACTTTTCAATGCTCACAATATCAGCCAATAAAAACTGATATATAATTTTAATATTTTCTTGTAAACATAATCTTACATGAATGTATAGCGAGAAAGGGGTGTGATTTTTCATCCAACACAAAAGGACATTACTAGTGTAATTTTCTCTATTTTCCCTCTTCAATTCATGTAATTGATAATATACACGTGTTTACGTAAATGAATTAACAATATATTGGGTAAGAATTACCATAAAAATGAACTTACACTTTTTTTTTCACAAGATTTTAATTTTCAAAAGTACAATTAAAAGAGTTCAAGTTGAAATTTTCTATAAGTTTGACATGATACTTTTTTTTTCACTCTCAATTTTTAGGGGACAACAAATAATTTTTTGAAAATATTGGAGGGGCCAATTTAAAATTCTAATGAAATTTGGGGATCACAGAATTTTCTTACAAATAACTTTTTTTTTTTTTTTTTTTTGACGACGGAAACCTCGTCGCTACATCCCTTCGAACTGAAGGTACAAGATAAACCCTCGATTGCTAACGCCGACCCAATACAAATAACTATTTCAAAAACCCTAAATAACAAATTTGAAATTTTTTGGAATCCCCTTGGCTCAGCCACATTTGGGAATTTTAGCCACATTTTCCTCGTACTTCTCTATGTTTGAATAAGCCTAATACTTTGTCTTTATTTGACCGATTAGTTGTCTAATCAGACAAAATTAGGAATACAAAATCGTCACTTTTGGGTTTCAACGCTTTTATTTTATATTCCATATGAAAACATGTGGAGCTTCTCAACTGTGTCTTCTGCGTAAACGCATAATTGAAGTATCAATCAAAGTGATGTTTAGTTAAGAAAACCCTATTTTGGTGTTCCTTTCGCATTATTTATTTATTTATTTAAATATTTAGAACTATTGATATAATATCCATAAATATCCAAATTAAGTCCACATTCCAAATCTTTAATTAATTAAATGTTGAATTCAACAACAGTCTATATTAGAATATGTATTAATGCCATTTTTAATGTGAACATTTCGGCTTAAGTCCACACATGCAAAAGAAATTTCATCAATGATCAACAAGATCATGATAAATAATGAATCTGGATCCCCTCCTAGGGGATTATGTGCGGGCACGTGTCTTTCTGGTTCTGCTTTAGATTACTAGTGCAAAATACAAACCCAACGCATCATACCGCACTAAATATATAAAAAATATTGTTACTGTTGCATAAACAAGGTAATATAATTTGTTGCATAAAGTAATGTAAAATTATTTCATAAATGATGTAAGTTGTTGTATAAGCGATCTAAGTAACACAAGGCGCTACACTTGATGAAATGGCACAGAAAAAAAATTCGGGCCCTAAACAAATTAATTAAAAGCTTGTTAATATATAAATTATTTTATTACTTTAAGGGCGGGTATGTAAAATAACTTGTTTATCGGGCGGAGTATGTATAATAACTTGTCGAAAATTTATGAATAAATTATTTTTGTTAAATTTTAATATTTTTTTTTCGTAAATATTTTACGACAATCAAACAACCAGAAAATATAAAAAAATATTTTTTGAAAAATATTTTACATCCAAATAAACGGAGGCTAAGTATCCATTATTTTTTTAGATCACTTAATTCGTAGATGCTAAAAGATTTGTAACATAAATGATTTGCAATTATGCTCACATCACCAATATTAATCTAATTATAAGATCAAATTAATGAACTATGCCACGTTTGAGCATTTAAGTTGTTTTGGTCCATAGTTCCTCGTGAATAACATTAAGACACATTTCAAAAGAATAAGAATTACTAGAAAAAAAAAAAAAAAAGAGTGGATGCATTTGGATAACAAAGAAGTAGATAAAAAGTTCAGGCACACATGTGTCCTTGCCTTAATGTTTCATGGTGTCGCATTAGTGGGTTGTATTGTTATAAATAATAGAAATTGAATCAAATGATTTAGTACAAAGACAACCACACTCATTAGAGAATCTCTGGTTTTTGGTAGAGTCCAGAGACTAAAGTAAAAACCCTCTGATGGATTTGTGTGTAGAATGACAGGTTTATTCTTAAGAAGAAAAAAGGAAGCTGGTGAAGGAATAAATTCTTGGCTGGTTGTTGATCTAGCACGAGATGAAACACGCACACACACATATATATATATATAAATGTATTTTGTGCATGTGTCCTCTTTAAAAAGATCATTCTTATTCCTTTTTGGATATAATCGAAGTTCACTTCAAGAATTTGCCTACTAATTGGGACACGTCGGCAAATTGTTCACTTGACATGATGACAGTTCTTGAGTTGCCATGTGTCATTCGTTAAAGCAAATGGTTTCTATTTCTATTAGGAGAGGAAGATTAAAAACAAAAGAATAGATTAATTTATATACTAGACTAGTTAGGATTAGGGTTTGCAATTCGTGTTTGCGGATCATAATCGTGTCGTATTGACCTAAGAATATTCTATTAAATAGCTCCATTCGAACACGATCCGTTTAATAATCGTGTCAGTAACTCTCACTACTAACCCGATATGTTTATTAAACAGGTTACACATATAATCTGTTTAATAATTACATATATATATACATATATATATATATATATATATATATACATAAAATATTTAGTTTATTAACAATACTCAATAAAATAATAAATACTAGAAAAATATAAGTTTTAATCCAACCAAATTACTAAATAGTCTCTACTTTAAAAAAGGGTAAATTATTAGACACAATTTTATATAGTAATTTTGGAACTTAAATAGAAATTTATTTATAATATATATAGTTAAACGTGTATACACAGGTTGAACGTCTCAATCCAAATTAACAAAACACGTTTAAAGTCAATCCAAACCCGTTTAAATCGTATCGTCTTAGTGGATTGTGTCAAAATTTGCAATCCCTAATTAGGATTGCGTTCCGAGGGGTCCAAATACTTCTCAAATGTATTTGGTAGTTGGGCTGAAACGCTATTTATGCATTTGGTGTGGATCCTCAAGTTTTAAATTATATAGTATAATATAGTTGGTTTGTCAGTATTCGAATCCCCCCCCCCCCCCCCCATTTGTTGGGAAACATTTTGTTATGCAATATAGTTAATTAAACATATACCCATATACATATACAGTATAGTACAAAAGATCAGTTCAAGGGTGCAAAAATTGGCGGTGACCCACCTAGTGGCTCGAGCCCGACAGGCTTTAGACCGGTCTGAGCCCGTCAGGGGCTGGCCTGTCCGAGCCCTATAAGATAATGGGATAGGTTTGGGTAAAAGTATCGGGCCTCGGCTCGGCCCGTAAGACACCCAATAGGCTAATCCACGACCACGAGCCCACCAACTAAGGTCACTCTGATGCCTTATCTATATATATATATATAATATCACTTTTTGTTACTCCCCCGTCCCATTATACTTCTCCATGTCGTAAATATCACAATTAGTGTCACAGTTTATGAGATGGTGAAACATGGACAAAGACGGAGGTAGTATATATTATCAAACCCTACTTTCTATTTTCGCTTTCTGCTATGTCTTCTCTAAACCGTAGCGGCGAATCACCCCCACCTCCTGAAGCGACCGACGATGCGGATGACAGAAGCGGAACCGCTGAAAATTGCTTGTTGAAGCAGGTTAGTGTTCTTCTCTCTCTATTCATCTGGTGTCACTTCTTCGTTCACTTCATATTGGCGTGAATGCTCAAAATCGGAAGGGGTTTTTAACTTTGTGAAACTTTGAAAATCAAATATCAAGAAAATACTGATATGGAAGTCAAGATCTGTTGGAATGTATATAGATTTTTATATATGCAGTTTATTATTATTATTATTAATTTTTTTAATGAATAATCGAGCTGCTGAGCCGATCGTTGGAGCACCGCCCGAGCCCAGCTCGATCATAGGTGGTCAAGGCTCGAACGACCTCGAGCAGTCCTCTGTCTGTGACGAGCTTTGCCCGGACCTCCCCAAACTCGGCTAGTTTGCAGCCCGATCTTAAAAAATATATAAAAAATAAAAAATTCAATTTAAAATTTAAAATACCAGGCCACTGCAAAATAAATTGTGGCGGGTGAGCTAATTATAATATTTTTAACCTATTAAGGTAATAATTTCTCACCAACTCTTTTTAATATTCCCGTCCAAATTAAGTGTTGCCTTTGTTGCGGTGAGTTACAGTTGATCAAAGGCAACACTTAATTTGGGACGTGAGTACCTAAAGTTTACCTCACAATTTAAATTGTGATTACATTTCACATCTTTTCATGTACGTCCATTTGAGTTTAAAATCTCAAATTTTAATATTTAAAATTTAAAAAGGCAAGTTAGTAACTTTTCGGGAGAAACAATGTTTGTCTCATGTGTTCTTTTAAAAATTATTACTCCTCATAAGTCACACTGAAATTGGGACAGACACTTAAATTGGGACAGAGGAATAAAAAAAAAATCTCTCAAGTTTGTATTCTCTTGACATCGGTTAGAATGAAAATATAAATTTTGAAAATCCTGAGTGGCTTTCTCATCTTCCTTCCATGACTCTACTTAACATGGATTCTGTTAACCTTAGTATGGCTGTCAATTGGCTTCAAGAAATTAACTTGCCGCCTTATAGTGGTGGGTGAGGTAAATGTATATAGGTAATAAATTGTGGTGGGTGAGAGGTAATTATAATTCAAAATAAATTGTACCTGTGAGCCAAATATAGTGTTGGGTGAGGTAAATGTATCTTTTTGTGAACTTGTTAAAAGGTTAGGTGAAAAATTAATGCCCACATCAAATTGTAGGTCAAAAATGTCTTTAAATAGATTTTTTGTCCCAAAGTTTTTGATTGGTCTTTGAATCTCTCCACTCTCCGCCATCATCACCTTCGACTCTCTCCCTCTCTCACTCGCACAGCCATCTAGGCTACATCCTACAGCTATCATGGTAAATATGGCTCATTGTAATTTTCAATATTTCACATTTTTCTTTTCATTTTATTGGTTTCTATATTTATATATACATGATATAGTTTCAAATGATATTGGTAACTAAGACTTTGTTCATTCTTATGTTGACATTTGTGTTCTCATTCTTGTACGGTTGTATCTCAAGCTTTATAATTTGGAGTGGCTAATTGTGTTAGGATAAGTAGTTATTAATGTAATGACTTCCAAGTGTTTATTTGTTGTTTCAAAATATTTTGTAAGTTTAGTAATATGTTTAAACATATTTTTTTGTAGGTTCACTTTTTGAGAAGAAGCTAGAAAGCTCAGTCAAACGAGTGGTATCGAAAAAAGGTACTTGGTTTATTTATATGTTATTATTTTGTTAACCAGTATGTATGATAAAATTTGAAAATATTGTGACACATAAAATTTGGTGCAAAATTTTGTGACTATACTGAACAATAGAACACTAGGAGAAGCCCATATAGGACGAAGATTTTTTTGTTGCTGTCCAATGAAGAAGAAACCCCACTCCTATTAACATAGGAACTGGAAGTGGAATCAAAGGTATGATCCACGCATAGTGATATGTATGTTCCATAAAAAATAAAAATTAATTAATTGTTACCGATTCGCCAGATATTACCTTTTTACACACATAATTGTTCCTTTGAAACCCTATTCCGCTGTCCCCTCATGATTTCTAACGGTATCTAACTAACTTAGACCTGTCCATTAGATGAAGTAACACAATGTATTTATTTGCATGGATTTAGTAAAATGTGTCTATAGCGAAAATGGCTGCACGTGATGGGGTGATCTACACTTGAGAGGTTGTTACCTTCGTCACTACATTTGTGTTCCCTCTCACAACAAAAAAGAAAAAGAAAAAGAAAAAGAAGTTAAAATACAATATTATAGAATTACCTATTGCTCGCACACGTTGTGTTGTTTTTTTTTTTTTTTTTTTTTTTTTAAGCATTATAGTCGTTGCATAACCGCTACAAGCCTGTATTATATTAAACATAGCCATGATTGGGCCATACACATTTTAACTAAAGCTCATGATCCTCATCATTATCATGGTAACATAAGTTACCCATGGCAATTTAAGTTGTGTTATTATATATATAACATATATATTTTAAAAAAAATTAGATGAAAAAGTTTGTACACCTATTATTATTTTATTTTTTTAGAATAAGGTGACTTTTGTAATATAGACTAGAAAAGTTGTCATTTATTATAATTTATGTTACAAACCTTAGAGCATCTCCAGTGATTTGTTAAAATACTTTTTTTTTGGTAAAATATACATTGGCGCCTATGATGTTTAAATTTTTTTCATATCCAGTAGTCTGTTAAGATACATTGTCATATCACCGATGTGTAAAAAGGTTGTGTATTTTACACAACCATTGCCAAATTAACATATTTTCTTTCTCATTCCTGTTTCTCATTTCATTAAAGAATCAACCATATATTAAGTAAGTTTGTAAAAGTTATGTGGGGTCTTGGCATGACACATAATTGATTGTTATTGAGAGATATATTTTTACAGAAAATGTATAAAACAATCGTTGGAGCTAAAATTAAATAATTCAAAATTTTTGTGTAAATCCATCATGACACGTCATATTTATATAAAAAAAAATATACACAAAGGTACTTGAGTCATGAAAACAAACTCCAATGGATGGGACCTGAACCGAATCATAATATGGAGCGTTTTTCCTCCCATGGATTTTGTTAAACGCATGTAGTTGTCATGTTTTTTTTTTTTTTTTCATTATTGATTATTTCGTTTCTCTGCGTTAAACATTTAAGATATTTTTTGTTTGTAAAAAAAAAATATTTTGCAGTGTCTCGCAATATGTGCCCTGAAAACTCAACGATGTGACCAAAGGTGCTGAGGATTGTGGAAGCTTTATTGGCATGTTTGATTTATGGCTTTATTAGCTACCCATGCATATTTATGCCTTGAATATCTTCCAGAAAATAAGATAAATGGCTACAAGTTTGTCAGGACCATTCCAGACCCTATCAAATACAACAAAAAACTCGAACTCGAACTCGAACGTGCTCATGACTAGATGCATCAATGTGCTCGTGAACTTTCGAATATTTCTCCTTAAGCCAATCTAATCCTATAGAATCACTTCTACAATTATTAATAAATTCCGAGTCATCTCGATCATTCAATCTTAAGTATCTATTACACAAGTGAAAAAGAGACTTATAGTGGTGTACGTTCTATTTTTAGTAAAAGCTCAAAAGACTTTTTTATTTAAAAAGTTTGTATTGGTTAAGCTTTATTTTCGTTTGATTTAAAAAGTTTGTATTGGGTAAGCTTTATTTCAATGTTTGATTTATGGCTTTGATTTGTGTATTTACTATTTTTGATTTAAAAAGTTTGTATTGGGTAAGCTTTCCATGTTTGATTTATGTTTGTATCGGGCAAGCTTTATTGTCATGTTTAATTTATGACTTTATTGGCTGTTTGATTTGCCACGGCAGTAAAAAGTTTGTATATCTTTTCAATCTCATAATTTGACACTAGTGAGAAAAATGATCTGCAAAGAACAATGTGACCAAGGTGATAGTTTCATAATTTGAAATCATACCGCTTCATGTTTGTTGTCATGTTGTATGCGACTAGTTCAAATTCATGTTACACAATTTTACATATTTTTCTTCTAAATACCATCTTACAAAAATCTTTTTTTGATAAGTAAAAGTTTGTATGTAATGTTTGATCAGAAAGATTTATATTAAAAAATAATTCTTTTATCTCTTGAAATCATATAATAGATATTATATTATACGTGTATATATAATTAAGTAGTCATGTGTTGTGGCAAGGATTACAATAATAATGAATTTACAGTGTATTTTTATTTCACACGGTTTGAGTTTTCAAAAGTATGCATAAAGAACTCCGAAGTTCAAATTTTCTTCTGAGTTTTAAGTGACAAAGTAAAAATTTAGCTTTAAAACTCTATTTATTTATTTATTTTGGCAAATGTAAATAACAATTATGAAAATTTATGGATGTCCCTCTTCGCTCAGTATCTGAATTCAAGGATGTGAATTGTTGCATAAGTAATATAAATAGGAAGGAATGTGAGTTGTTGCATAAGTAATCTAAGTAGGACACTGCACATGATGAAATGATAAACGAGAGGGATTCAAGTTCATTAAACAATAGCCTAAACATTTGGATTTACCAAATTAATTAAAAGCTTGTTAATATGTGAATCATTGTATTACTTTAAGGATCCATTGATTTTTTCGATCCATTATGTTATAACATGTATGATTTCACATTAATATGTATGCTAAAAGATTTGTAACCTAATGAATTGCAATGATGCTCACATCATCAATATAGTCTTAATTATAATTATCAAATTAATTAACTATGCCACGTTTGAGCATCTAAGTTTTTTCTCTATAGCTCCTCATGAATAACATTAAGACACATTTCACAATAATAAGAAATACTAGGAAAAGAAATGGATTTGGATAACAAAGAAGAAGAAAAAAAGTTCAGACCACACATCTGTCCTTCTGTTAATGTATCATGGTGGTGCATTAGTGGGGTTATAGGTACTAAGTAATGGAAATTGGATCGACCGATACAAAGACACCACTCATTAGAGAATCTCTGATTTTGGGTAGAGTTTATGGATTTGTGTGCGGGAATAAATTCTTGGCTGGTTGTTGATCTAACATGAGATTATATATATTATATAAACATGTATTTTGTGCATGTGTCCTCTTTAAAAATATCATCCTTATTCCTTTTTGGATATAACCAAAGTTCACTTCAAGAAATTGCCTACTAATTGGGAAACGTAGGAGAGGAAGATTATAAACAAATTTAACTTTTTTATATGGGCTTCACATATGACTAGTTTAGATTGGGATCCACAACTAACACTAAGGAGTTCAAACCTTTTTATACACTAAGATGATCAATGTATGATTTGAGAATGGGGCTAGATCACAAAATAAAGGGCTATGAATGCATTTTCACCAAACTTCCAAGTAGAAACACAAAATTGGGCTTAAAACCCAAACATTTTAAACTATCCAATCTATATAGAATTGACGAGCTTAAAGTGTTGTTGAATGAATTATAATGGGATCAGAAGGGTGAGACAAAGAATACAGAAAAATGAAGTATAATTTATGTGGTTGACCACGTTCCTCCAAAACCCTCCGCCTCTCCTCACACACCCCATATATATATATATATATATATATATATATATATATATACACGCACATTCATTTTTTGGAAACTCTATTCTGCGCAGCAGGTTGATCTTGATTTATAACTTCCTAACTAGCTGACCTCCACAACTGGTTTAGACAACTGTACGATAAACTCTTATTAATTTGTTTTTTGGTTTTTGATGTCGAATAGTCTTTTAATTAAATACATTAAATGAGGATGTAGTATAGTAACACATATTTAAAATTCATGGATTTGGTAAGGTGTGTCTATTCCGGAAATGGATGCACATGTTTCACCTCTATCCCTACGGATATCAAACCATTTGGAATGAACACTAAAAAAAATAATGAAATTTTCTTTTTAAACATTTGTGTTGCCCCTCAACAACAGAAAATGTTCAAGTTGCACTACTAGTTGCAGAATCCCTCTCCCAGATTATTAATTGGCAACCCGTCATCCGGACCAATCAAATGTAAGCTATTTTTCGGCAAAAAAATATATTTTCACTTATATTTTAGTATAATATATATAGATAGACTTCACGTGATGTAACTAAAATTTTTCACTTCAGATGGAGGAAAATAATTTGCTTTTCACTTCAGACGGAGGAAAATAATTTGCAATCTTTTAAAACACTCTTACTGACTTTGGCGTGACCAAAAGTGTTGAGGATTGTTCGAATCATGTTTGATTTGTTACTCGCTTAGCTCTCAGCTCAAACATTAGCACTTGTTGATTACAAATGTGATCCTCATTTATATTTATAATCCCCTCTTTTTCAGTGGACAACTGAAATACATTCTAATAAACCGTTAAGATTAACTTTTTGAAAATATCTTTTAACATCTCTACAATTCTATACATTCCAACAATAATTTAGAATCTTTCAAAACTCTCTACACTACTCTGGGACTTTAAAACCAAATTCTTGACAGATACTCCATGCAACTCACCCCGTGTGTGGTGTAAGCTCCTTTGAGAAGGCACGCATTACCCGTTTGACATAACCCCTCCTTTAAAGAGGCGTGGCAAAATTGTAAATTACCTCCTACACTTCCACTATAACAGTTCCTCTAGCCTCCTAATCTAACATATATCGTTAAAGCCCAAATCAATATTTGTTTATACACTTTATTTATTTATATATTTTTATGGACGAGTTCAAATCTTTCCTCTCTTTCTATTGCTCCCTCCAATATGAAACCTAAGAATAGTTTTTATGATAATTAAGAAGTGTGAGAAAACAAAATGGATTGTGAAATCAGTACCATAATTTGCTGCTCGTAACTCACTCATATTTGTTCAGAAGTATAAATAATTCGATTAGATCAAGCCAAGTCAAATCAATCAAATAACAAGTAATGGAACAAAAAGGTAAATTAATAAATATTTCCTACACAATCATACTAATGTTAAGTTTTGACCCACCTTCTAAATATAAATAAATTAATTAATCATTATATGATATATCTATATTTTTAAGACAAGAATGTTAGATAGACTTTAAAAGTACGAGGGTTCGAAATCGAACTTTAAAAAATAACAAAAGGAAGTGTTGGGTGACGGGGTCTTCTAACGTTTATCATTCTATTTTTCTTTGGCTCAAAATAATTGTCTTATTTAAAAAATCAAAATACAATAGTTTTTTTTTTTTGTAATTTTATTCATTAATCTTTTTAATTTGAATCTATAAAAAAATAAACAATTATGTCATTTTTAATTTGAATCTATAAAAAAAATAAACAATTATGTCATTTTAAGTTTATTAAAGAGAAAATTAATCACGACTAATACAGTAAAAATAATAATAAAAAATTCTTCTCTTAAAAAAAATAAATAAAAAGACACTTATTTTCAGACGTTGGAATAATATATTAATATTTATTAATTCGCACGAGTAGCATTTTATATTATAAAAAAAAGGAAAATAAAAAATAAAATTAGTTATTTTTCGTGCACTTTTGTGGCAACGATGTTAGTTGGCAACGTAAAATATCCGGTTGTAGATCTTGATTCTGCACTTGGGGCGGTGACGAGAGAGAAAAATGGGATCTCTCGGCAACGCCATTTTTTCTTTATCATCCTTCAAAACTCCACCGGACAATGATGTCTCGTCACGGAAGAGAAAAACCAAGAAATCTGCGTGTAAGTGTAATCTCACCATGGTTTCTAAGAACTCCTTCAAATTGACCAAAATCTCTTGCCAATTGTCTGAGAGTGGCATTGAAGAAATACACACAATCGATGGAGTTTCAAGCACCAAGAACAGAATGGAAGAGTACAACATAGCTATGAAGAGCATGATGAGGAACCCCTATGAGTATCACCATGATCTGGGTTCGTTTCCTTTTACAACCCCAATTTGTTCTTAATTTTCACATTTCGTTATTAATTTTTTGCATTTTGGTTCTCTAATTTTTAATGCTGTCCTGATTTATCTTAAAATAAGAAAATGAACATGGGTTCTATTTTTTCGTTTTAAATTGATCTGGGTTTTTGTTAGTTTTTGAGTTATTTGGTAAATTTCTTCAATAGTGCTCTCAGATTCATTTGGTGTTATTCTGATTCTTTATTCTTTTATTTTTGTTTGTCTGTTTAATAGAGGTAATCTTGGTTCAGGTGATACATTATTGCTTGATAGATTCTTCTCTTTTTGTGTTTTAATCACTATTAAGATTGAATCAGGACTAAAATGATTGGTACAAGTTCTAGATTTTGCTGTTTTCTGGTTCTAGCTTATTTGTTTGTGTCGCTTTTGAGGCTTTGGATTCGTCTCTTTAACAATATAGTCGACTTTGTATTTCTGAAATGGAATTGTTCAATATCTCAGTATGTTTAATTAAATTATAAGTAATGATGAACTATTGCATGTGATTTGATCTCGGGATGCATGTAACTTGGCATAGAGAATCTATTCTGTTGTATTTGTTTTTAAGATCTATTGCATGGTAAGATTTCTATAGATGTCATTTTGTGCAACTAATGCGAAAGGTTAAATCTGTATCACCCCTTAAACATTTCTTATTAGCACAACCAATGCTGGTTAATGGCTTCTTTATTCTCATATACTTCTTTTTGGATAATGCTATAGCAGGCTTAGCAGCTACTTGATCAAGTTCATGTCACATCAATTAGGTAAAAAGAAAAAGGGAAAAGTATGTGTCAAGATCATGGCTTATTCAAAACTAGTGCCATATGAAATAGTGAATAGAGGTTCCCCAGAATGGCTACTTTATTCAAAATCAGAATGGCTACTTGCTTTAGTTATTTTAAGTATTTTCTCTGAAGCTTTATGGCATCAGCATCTGAACAGCTTATCACGTGAATGATCTTATATGCACAGCAGTAACCATGGCTATATTGCAGGGTTACATATTTACTGTTTATCAAAAAGTTGTATGGTTAATTTCTTTTTGTTGGAATAACAATCACAAAGCGAAGAAAAAATATTGCAGCTGGTATTTTGCTGTATACTTTCATGGATTAAATTATTCTAAACCACTTACATTGAAAATGTTGTGTTGCCTTGGTGTGTCTTAGTTATTTAATAAATCTTGTCCTGATTTCAGGCATGAACTACACACTGATAACCGATAATTTGATTGTGGGTTCCCAGCCTCAGAAAGCAGAAGACATAGATCATCTGAAACAAGAGGAAAACATAGCCTACATTCTTAACTTGCAGCAGGACAAAGATATCGAATATTGGGGAATAGACTTGCAATCTATAACAAGAAGATGCAGAGAACTTGAAATTCGGCACATGAGAAGGCCCGTAAGCAAATTCATAAACACCTAACCTTTTAATAAAAAAATTGGGAGTAGAAGTAAATTCTGGGTCCAGCTTATTTTGGAGTATGATTTGTAAGTCACTTCTACATATGACAATTGGCATCTTTGAAACTTGTTGACATGACCCCATGTCCTACACAGGTCACTACCTGTTCAATAAAAATCACTAAAAATCCATTTTTATTGACTTATGTTGTAAAAAGTTGTGTTCAATACATTTTAGACCCTATGTGCCAGGTCGGAAAAAATATTCACGATTGCGATGACCGATTACGTTATGTTATGTGGCTGATTCTGTTACACTGTGTATTGGCAGTCGTGACCGCGACTGCAAACTACGGTGTGGATACTTTCAAAAGATTCCACCTTCATTTCTCAAATTATGCACTAGGACCGGTGAACATGCCTTTCTGTTTTCTTGTTATTCCACATAGGAATAGAAATCTGGCATGCAGGCCTAATTATAATAGCCTCATAAAACTATAGTCATGTTCCTGTTTTCAGATTTTGGGGAAGTGCCATATCTAAACACCATTTTGCATTAATGTGACACTTGTGGTCATGTTCACAAATCCTGTTTTTGTAATTTAGGTGTACTCCACATGAAATTTTTCTAGAGTGTTAACCCCTGCCAAAATTTTAACAAGAACTCATATTTTTCTTCTTCTCTATATGTTTAGATGGCTAATTCTTGTTTCAGCAATTATTTATTCTTATTGAAGGCTATTTATGAACAAGGTGCTGATGAGAGTTTTTGCTTGAAAGCATCAAAAAGTTCAAGACCAATATCTGGTTGCATCTTTTGAATTTTTTTAGTATCCACCTCAATTCAACAAATCCTTTTCCCAGCACCTTGGAATGGATAAATATTGAAGAAAAGGAATAAACATACTAAGGGCTTTTCTGTGCTATTCTGGTATCTGCCTTACCATCTTCAACTTATGCATTGATAGGCAAGAGACTTTGATCCCGATTCCTTGAGAAGTGGATTACCGAAAGCTGTTTCGTCTTTAGAGTGGGCCATTTCAGAGGGGAAAGGAAAAGTGTATGTGCATTGTACAGCTGGATTGGGAAGAGCTCCAGCTGTCGCAATCGCTTACATGTTCTGGTTTTGTGGCATGAATGTAAGTGCCCAACTCTCCAATATATGATCTCTTATTGTGTTGCATGTCAAATACACTTGTTGAAATTTTTTTTAAAACTTTAGCATCTTTAGTAGTGAAAATGTATTGAAGTTTAAACTGTTTAAGATTCCAGGACAATCATGGTAGAGTTATCAAGTAATTGATTCTCTGCTTCCTAAGTTATGCAAAGATTAGAATAGTTTTCTTTCTTACCCTTCTTTTATCATACTGTGTCTTGGCTACGGAACAGCTGAATACAGCATATAATTCACTTACTGCAAAAAGACCCTGTGGACCCAATAGAAAAGCAATACGTGGAGCTACTTATGATTTGGCTAAGAATGATCCCTGGAAGGAGCCTTTTGAGAGTCTTCCAGAACATGCTTTTGGGAATGTAGCAGATTGGGAGAGGGAATTGATTCAGGATCGTGTCCGCTCCCTCCGTGGAACTTGAGAATACTGGTAAGAATTTTGTCTTGAAAAATTCATTCAATATTGGAACCGTCTAACATGAGGTTGCTGGGTTATGCTGGCAAGATCTTGGAGCTACTTTTGCTCCACATGATTTGTGTTTTATTTCTAGCTAATTGATAGCCTGCCTTACTGTTTACATCAGCTTCCAAAGAAGTTGCAAATACTTGTCTAAAGATCTAGTTGGGGTTGTTATGCCATTGGTCTTATTTTGTTAGCTTGCTTGTATGAGGCATGGACACGGATATAGGATATATGATACGTTATATAACAGATTCTGAGAATGTAAGTTTGATATGGCAGGGACATATCATGAGCTAATTATATAGTCTTAGATTCTAGTTAATATATTAAATTTTATGCAATAAATCTGAAAGTTATTTTCCTTACTGTGAAAAAAGAAAAACTGAAAGTTCTTTTTTCTTTTAAGTAATAAAACAAGGAATTATGTTGCATTGACACAATCTTGTGGAATGTGGCTAGATTCAACAAAAGTTACCCTCATTATGTCTTAAAAAGTGGTTGAATTATATAAAACCCTCAATATGTTCTCTCCTGTGATGCTGTAATGGTCAAAGTTCACTGTCCTAGACATGTGGACATGTGTCCAGTAGTATCAAATACGTACTCCAAATCCAAAGCTCATCAAATTATGGATGAGTTTTGGAAGTATCAAACATATATATAGGAGTATCCAATCGCTCTAGGTATTTAATAGGATACCATTTGGGTATGTCACTTTCTGAATAGCTTGTATGCTTTATTAACACCTAAAAAACAAGTGTTAACAAGTAAAACAAAGAACAAACCTAAGGGTCGAACTGGATACCAAATTAACATTTGACATTTTTTGCACAAAGTGGCTGCTCTGCGATGTTTCAAACCCGTGACATTTCAACAGTCCGAGCATTTTACCACTCCCCGAACATTTCAAAACAAATTATCCTTCCTTAACCAAGTCATTCTCGAATTTTGCCGCCATCTACTCTTTTCCAACCTGGCTAGCCTCCTTCATTCTTCTTTGGCTGTCAACTATGGACATTGTAATTTATTTTAGTTATCTTGAAGTCTAAAGGGGATTTGATACCAAGTCCTTGCTATGAGTCCCTAAAGACTCACTAGTGGCCAGTGGCTCCTCTTAACCTCCTATTTACTATTGAATATAATGTCTTTTGGCTTTTGTCAAATCAAAAGTGTAATAAGCCAGAAGTTTTTGGGCCATATATTAGTCTCAAGATATACTTAAACCGGGAGGGATAAAGCGCCTGAAATTCACTGAGGTTATTCTGGCATGTCATCATAGATAAATATCCAACATCAGCAGAAATTCAGCTCAGATATTGCATGGGGAAATCAATAGTGTACTGGAGTAATAATAATAATAATTTCTTTATGCATATTTAAGTACGCACTCTTTAAGTAGTTAAGTAGTTAAACTGCATTTAATGATTCTAATGAGTTTGACCTCACTCTATTCAGTATCTTTTGGCTGGTTACATGATCCCTCCCTTCAATCACAATAAGTTGTTGTTTAATCTTGTGTTTGATTGCTATGAAGATGAATGAATATGATTTCTGAGGAACAAAAAAAAAGGGGAAATGTGGAGGTCTAGATTGTATTTGTCTGCAATCGAATGGAAGAAAATATTATTCTTTTTCTTCTTCCCACATGCATGTCTTAGAATATATATGTGTGTGAATATGTAGTCTTGAAGCTGCACTATTTTATTGATTTGGAAACTCATGCTGACAATTTTCTGTTTCCTCAGAAATTCTTAGTGGAATGGTGGGAATCTGGAGGGCAACTTATGAACTACAGGGCCGGAACAGGGGAGAGTTGGGCATACCAATGCACAAAGCTGAATGTCTTTGAAGCACACCCATACTATACATTCAAGCTCATACTGTTCTGTTCGTTCATCTTCTTCTAAAATAAGGATAATTATAGCACTGTTAATATTTATACAACAGTTGCATACTCATGAATAAATTTATGAGGCCTAGTGGGCATTGGGCTTGAAGCCATTTGTTGGTTGTAAAAGCTAATACCTAATTGATGAGATTTCCACAATTAAGAGACTACTAACAATTTTTTGTCATGTTCCAAGTTTATTGGATGTCTCCAGAGAAGCCATTAGTGATTCTGAAGCAAGATAGGAGTATAACATTGCAACAGTATCACTGTTGAGTTACTTTGACTTTTTAACTTCGTTTCATCTCAAAATGAGCTTGGAGAGGCCATGCAGTTAGCGTCGGTAGTAAATGTAGACTCGTATGAAATGAGAACAACTTTCTGCAGAATGTACTGTATGTAAATGCTATTATTGTGAAATTTTAAAGGAATATCTCCGTTAGGGTGCCAATTTGGTGATCCTAAACACAGCTCAAGTAAAATTGATTGAGAAAGATGGGGGGGGGGGGGGGGGGGGGGGGGTTGGGGGTTTTTTTTGTTCTTCTCAGTTGGTTACACATATGCCTCCACTGAGGCTTGAACCCCTGACCTCCCTTTGGAAAGTAAGAGCCTGATACCGCTAGGCCACTGGCCCGTTGGTAGCTCTCCATCTTCCTCTCCAGACTTCACCGACAATTTAACCTTCCATCCACAAATGGTGAAAAAGTCCTTTCCCCTCAACCTTTCATCTTTCTTACCAAACGGAGCAGAGTCCGAGGACAGTGGTCCTCATCTAGAAACAAGTAAAAAGTAGGCAAACATTGGCAGACATTCTAACATTAGCAAACATTATTAGAATGTATGTGCCATGTTTTATAGAACAAGTCAAGAATTTATCAGCAATTAGTCATTTGAATTTGAACAAAATGTCAATGATTTACAAAAAACTACCAAGTCAGCACAAAGTTACCAACAAATGCATCCACAACAGCACATCAATATAAAAATTTAGGCAAAGCTTATATGAAATGAGAGTGATCTTCCTGTCGCCAAAATCTATAACCAGAGGAGCTACCATATGATACAACTGCCTTATACTCTAGCAATACTTCTTCAAAATTATGAAAAATTAATAGAAAATTGTGATCTTTGAGGTCAATATTCTACAACATGTGTACCTATAAAACAAATAACATAAAAAAATTTCTACAACAGATGTACACAAATCATCTTCAGGGAAACTCAAGAGGTGGAGACAGCCCGGAGCCTTGCAAGTTGTGTTTGGCGGCGTCCTAAATGGAATGCTGTGAATATCCACAATAAACAGACCTGACATACCAAAGAGAAATAAAAGAATTTCATTATTTATCAGAAAGAAAAAAAAAAATCAAAATGACAAGTTGGTCCCAATAATTAGGCATCTGCATAATCTGATGCACTACATATTCAGAATGTGAAATGAAGTTTGATAATGTAAGGTGAAAACACCAAATGTAACACACAGCGTTTTGAGGCAGTCAATGCAACTCTCTTGAATCGATAACCAACTAATTACTTCTAAAAACATAATGATAAATCTTGTCTACCATATTATTCATGGGGTACATAAAATAAAGGATAAGAATTTTTTTACATACAGGCAGGGCATAAAGCGAGACAGTTGATATTTTCCCATTAAGATTGCTTAAAAGTAACTTGTACATTCCTGCTGCTGTAGCATCCCCAAGCCTTTGAACAATTACATCTATGCATACCTGCAGCATCATGCGTTTGGTGGGGCCGTGAGAATTAGTAGCAATTCTAGCACATGGATACTTATTGATATGGCGATACCTTGAATGACATTACATATGCCTCATAAAATTGTGTGTGGTGAAGCAATCTTTCGGAATTAATAGAAAGAGACTCAATATTCCTGATAAATAAATATCAAAGTCCTTTCTAATAGAGCGAACATTGCAACTTGAGAAAACTACACAGGCACCAAGACCTGATGCTGCTTGTATTAATGTTTCTTGGCATTAACAGTAATTTTTTTCAGTAAATCTCAATAATTGAAAGTAAATCTAAGATCGGACTAAGGTACCAAACAAGACATCCTTTTTGTTGTTTTCCATCTGCCTAACAAACCGGCAAACAACCAGTAAAGCCCTGTGACCTAACTTTCCATTTGATGGCAAAGAACAGTATTCTAGCTGAATAAAAGAATTCATACCTTAGCTTTATATTTCTCATCTGTTGAGACAACAGTAAAAAGCAGTTCTCTTGCTGGTCTGGTTACAACATAAGTAACCACCTGCCAAGTAATATAAATGTGAAATGTAAGATGATATTCACATTATAATCATGGAATAACCTTCGATTCAGCTTTCCCTTTTCATAAAACCCAGTTGATTTACCTTTGACGAACAATAAAGAAGTAAGTGCACTAACCAAATATTTCTCAAGAAACTGAGTGCTAGATGAGAAAAGCACAGTCAAACAAAAAATAAGGCATAAGCTATGAGAAAAATGGAAACAACCTTTCGCAGGGTCTCAGAAACAGCAACCGCAATCCAACTTGGCCACACAGCTATACCAATCAAATTTAAGAAGGCAACAGATGGAGTAGAGCATATGGCAGTAGTAACCCCAGCAACAGTAAGGATACGTCCCTGTATTTAAATACATAAAGAGAAAACAAGGCAGGGATCAATAAACTGACGAGACCCAATTCTAACTTGAGCAAAATGCAGGAAATGTAATATTTGTACACCTTGAAAATTTTTGACAGTCAAAATGATTCATGGTATACTCCAGTTCTTATAATTCTTTTTTAGTTTTTTGATAAGTAAGTATATATTGAAGAGCTCCCAAAAGGGAGATGCGAACGGAACAAGTACACAACAACTATAGTGTCAAGTATCCACAAAAGACAAGAATCTACATAGATTTACAATTAGAACCCTGTACCCAAAAGACAGATCTTAGAATTCTTAAAAAAAATTAATAGTTAATGAGAGGAAATCCATCCAGCGGAGTTTCATAGGCACAATTTTTTTCCTTTTTTTTTTTTAGTGAGTTTCATAGGCACATTGCAGAGCCAGTACATTGAACTGCACCAAGTCAATACAAGAGTGCTAAAATTGAATTTAGAATTACTAGCTCTAAGTTATTTGGAAGTAATTGTACCACATGTACTGAATTCCTATACGAATCCCTACACAATAAATTGCCTCACTTCACTCTTACTTTGAAAAATTAAATAACCATCATGATCTCAATAAATTCAAATTTACTAAACCAGCACCACAAGTCCGTATAGAGATTTCATGTAGAAATACTGTAAAAACAGAATTCTCCTTTCACTTGAAATGGATGAAGTTGCAAAAACATTTAAGATCACAAACACTATAGAATCACCATGTATCACAAAGATAAGAAACTTGTCATGAGATAAGGATTAACCCTGAAGGCTTTTTTTTGGGAGAAGTAGGGAAAAGGAGTGCTGTTACATTTCTAGGATAATGTTTAAAGGAAACACTTGAAGTTGATAACATTGAAATATTAGCAGTTGCAAACATGTAGCTAGCTTAATGGTGTACACCCTTGTGCGATTTAACTAAACACGTTATGAGACAATAGTCTATAATTTTCATTTCTCTGGCAACAAGATAAAGAAATCAAAGAATTTTTTTCAAATAATCCAGCTGAATAACTACATTGGGCAGCAATAGCATACCGTTAAAGTAAGCTGTCCAGCAAGGATAAAAACAGCAATAAAGCTGTTGATCTGGGCAAATAATCTTCTTCGCTCGGTAGGACTTGTAACAGTCATGGCAATCACAGTTACTTTCTGCAGTTCAAGAGAGGGGTGGATGGTGGAGTAAGCAGGAAGAGGAAAACAGAATAACAGGAAAACCAGATAGCAATATAATTTTAATAAAAGGTGCATCAAGAAAATTTAATCCAATATTTAAACATGAATTCTGAGATGCACATTGGAGCTTCTATATTCAGTGTGGTTGTTTCAAACTTCATTCATGGAAATGAGACGAACAGACAACACCAGGATTTATATAATACCTAAAATTTGAATGAATGCTGCTCTTTAATCTTGTAAGGTTCCAATTCACCAGAAGAATTTGGTATGAGATATCTCTTACAAGATAAGAATTGACAAGGGAAAACAAAGTACCATATGATAATCTAAATTGGTTTCAACAACCAGTGCATTTGTGTCAGCGCATATGTATGTCCTTGTATCGGCACATATCCTGAAAAAAGCTGATGTACCCACTCTTTGGAGGCAACCAGCTTCCTCTTTTCATGATGCAAAATATACAAATGTAAACACCTAAAAAAGTTGTGCTCAGTTTCTTCAACTGACATGCATACTGATTTGCCAATTCCTCTCCACCTCTCACTCCATTAAAGGAGCCCTATTCTTGGCTTCATGCAGTCACCTACCTCTCTTTCTCTCTCTCTCTATCTCCTTTACTATAGTCACAAAACATTCTCACTCCATCTTATGTTGAATCCCCACTACACCCCACTTCTGTGGTCTCTTCATTGTTTGTTCAATGAATGCAGTTCTCACTGTTTTAAGAGGAAATATTGAAAGCTTTAATGAGCTTCTTTTTCTATAGAAGTGCTAGCTGAACAGCAGATAAAGATGAAAACCGCAAATGAGTTGCTTTGAAAAAGGGGCAACACAAGCAATCTAATCAGGAAGCAGCTTGAGAACCTGAAGAGCAATAAGCACAGCAATTCTGGTAAGTAAAGAGAGAGGACAATGGTGATGATGCCGAGTCCATTGCAGCTTCCTCCTCTTGAACTTGAATCATATATTAATATACATCTAGAATAGAACACAACTAACAGCAAAGTTGTATAAATCAACCAAATGAGGTGAATACAGGAAGCCACATATATGTCACACCTCTCCTCTCTCTCACCCTTTCTCTCTATCCACTTCCTCATTCCACGAATCCACCAAGTATGATCCTCTCTCTCTCCAAGGGAAGCAGTGTTCCCCTGCAGAAAGCAGGATGAGGGGAGACCTTGATGTAGTTCGTTTTGACTTTTTTCTCCTCATCTGAAAGCTTTAAATCTAATTTATAACGTTGGTTATGCTTGCACGACACCCAGACATCGCCTGTTCCCACCACCTACTAGTCTATGAAAATGGAGGAAGCTAATGGCAGCTAAAATCTTCCTCTATTGGATTTTCAGTTCTCCAAATTAAACAACATTTTGTCTTATACTAGAAAAAGATCTTACACGAATGTGATTGTTATTTCAATCACTTTCACTCTAAAGAGCATGAATAACAATAGTGGTTGCCATTTGAATTTAGTATTATATATTGTCTGTTTTCAAGAAAAAATATCCTATCATGAGAAGTGAAGCCTAGAATTAGTACTAATATAGGATAGTTCACTTGTATTTTTGCATGCAAATAACATATGGAATTCTCTCAGCAAATAGAGAGTTACGATTTTCATTTCAAGCCACTCAAATAATATTGTAACAGCTTTAGAACATATCAGAGACTTGTCGCATATCTCTCTAATTACTTGTATCATATATCATGAACAAATCCATTGATGATAATTAGAAGGATCTAATAAGTCATAAACCATAATTCTAAGCAAGTATTATTGCCTTCATTGTGGTAAACAGAAGCGAGGGGGATCAAGGAACAAAAAGGAAGGGGAAAAAGTATAATTCTACAAGTCTCGTGTTGGATTCGAGTGGGCTATCGGTAAATGACTTTCCCAGTGACTCGGTCAAAATATATGATACACTTCAGAGGCTGAATCAGAAACTAACATATAAATAAATAGATAAAACCTACTCTTACCTGAAAATAGAAGAATGAAGAGACAACTGCACTCAGCCACAGGAATAATGCGACATATAACAAATAGGTTGATGACAAAATAAGTCGGAATCCATCCAATATAGCCCATAGATGAGGCTTTGCGACGGAAGTAGATAATCGAGGAGAGGATCCTTTTAAAGCAGGTGCAGTTTGCTCAACAGCTTCACCATGTTGATCAAGACCAGCTTTTCTAAGAACCACAACAACCAAGTCAAGATCATTCTCATTATGATGTTTCAACATCAGCTGTTCAAAGAGCCAGAATAACCAAGTCAAAAATTTAGATATGTTTTAGCCAAAGTCCTAGCATACTGCTTTCCAACAACCATGAAAGGCCAATAGAGATTAAAGATTATTTTTACAGAACCACAAGCACCTGTTCAACTCAAAGAGCACAGAAAACTTTTTAGCTTATTTCTGTCGACAAATGTAACATCATTCAGTAAAAGCTAATGTAAAAGGAAGAAAAAGTAAAACAAAGAATAAAAGAAAATAAAACTTGCATTGGAAAGATATTATGGGTGTATTGTTTAAAAATTATTGAGGTAGAAGACAAACAAAATAAAAATAATAATAAAAAATCCAACGACATAATGAAATTTGTATTTCAAAGATTTCTCTATCCGAAATGGTTTGATCTGTTGAATGGTTAGTATAACCACCATCATCGCACCCCCACCACCAAGAAGAATGGAAAGAAAAATGGCAGAACATTGCAGCTTCAAGACCTAACAACTCTTATACAGAAACTAGCATACTTGAATCCTGACACTGCCACACAATTGAAACCTGGCATGTGTTACGACAAACGCAGCAAACCCAAGCAACAATCACGAAATACGACAGAAAAGTAAACACACCACACACAAAGATTTAGCGTGGTTCGGCAAAGCCTACATCCACAGTGGAGATCGGACGAAAGTCTTCACTATGCGACAAATGAGATTACAAGTTTCAGCCCCTCACTCTCTTTTTGTATGATTTTCAGTGTCTCAATCTCTATATCAGCACTCCAAACCCTAAACACCCTTATATATCGGGCCACAAGAGAGTACTAATTAGGGTCCACAACCCACAAGCAAAAAACGGGTCAAAAAAATTTCCTCGGGGCCAAGCCCCTGAACCCATCCAATGGGTCGCACCGCAACCCGGCACCAAATTCGGGCCACGGCATGCATAATCTTGTCTGCAGTTACCACGACATTTAGTTTAAGTAAGAAATAAATGTAATAGTCCACAACTCTCAGGATATCAAATTATACATTTTGGTGCCATATTATGTAACTTCTAATTCCCACCCCCTCCCCCAGGGCAGGGAAAATATATAACAGAATAGCAAAAGGGACATTTAATAATCAAATTTTTACTTCCAACTTACAATCATCTAATTCCAACAGCGGCTTATATGTACTAAACACACCTTACTATTACTATTAGAAGGAAACTCAAAATTTATCTCTATCAGAAGACATGAACCAAAAGTAAAAGACCAACTAACTTGATGGGAGCTTGTTCTTCAGAGACCTGGGGTGTATCCTTGTTGATTCTTTTTGATGACTGTGCAGCGAGTTCCATTAGCAGAGCAGCAAATAGGAGTAAATCTGAAAGAACAGATCAAAACTTGGAGTGAGGAAAATAGAAAAACGAGAACCAAAAATTGATATTTGTTAAATATTATGAAAATTTTATTATATAGATTGGGAGAATTGTCGAGGTCATAAACTTGTCCTATGTATTATATTTTTGTATTTCGTCATGTCCGTATCATATTTATATAAGATTTTCCGTATTGATACATCCATATTGTATCGTGTCGATGCCTATGCTACTTAGTTGATGATGGAAAAAGCATACATACATGGTCCTGTCCAAGCCAATCCTGTGGCAAACAATGAACCGAAAAGCTGGCCAAGTGTAGCACCAGCACCAATGAACCCAAACAATCTCGAACCTGACTGAATATAAAATAGTGTTCAGTTGTGCACAAAAACTTGTGCTTATGACTAAATTGTGCACGGCAACCAAAACAGACCTCACTGTCCATGACATCAATTACCCTCGCCCAAGTTGAAGAGATAGTTATAAGATTGAGAAGAGCAATCTGTAGTAAATGCAAAATTCCCAATAAGATTTGAAAATCATTATCAGTAATTGACACCCAAAACTAAATACAAGTAGCTCAGCATGAATGAAAGTACCATCATACCCAAAGGAACAAGCCGATTCTCACTGAGACAAAAAACCATCCATGGTTACCCCAGCCTACAGACTTTGCAGGACTAGCTTGATCAACCTCAGCCTTTAGCTCCTCTTTTATTAATCCCTGGAAATGAAAATCAGTACAATCAAGAACACCATGAAAAACAGAAATATATTCCAGCAATGAATAAGCGATTTCTCGGTCACTGAATTCTTAGCATACCTTAAAATTTGAAAGTGAATGTCCAGGTGAAGAAGAATGCCATAGAATGAAGAATATAACAAGAGACACACTAAAAAACCTGTGTATCAAGACTAAAGCCTGTAATTTCAAAAACCACCTGTTAGCAGAATGCTAATGGTTAAAAATAAAAAAATAATAATAATAATAAAAAATACCACACAGGTAATAATCAGCATGACTAGAGAATGAACGATTCCCAAAGATCAAACAAACAATTGATTCAACTAAGATGACTGTTTATCCTACTAAGGAATTTTCAGCCCATGAGTGATAACTCTAGAATGGCCAATATCCAAATTCCATGCATTCATATGTGTCACAGTTCCTTAACCATTCCAGTGACGAGACCTTCAGATTGTTCATTATCAGTGTGAAGTGGAATGAATTGATGATGCTTGTAGCTAATCGATTGTTTAAGACAATTCAATTCTATTATTTTCAGAAGTCAAAATGAGACAAAAAAATAAAGGACAATCAATTCTTCTTAAGATAAGACAGAATTTACTGTTATATCTCAATATCTATTAGTTCACATAAATCAGAAAGTCATTATGGACTTGTTTGAAAATGAGTTCACATATCCTCTAGGTACAGGGACACCCAATGATCATATTTATGTCAACGAACGAGAAAGCATGCAAAGCAAGTACAACGCAACAATCCATTAGTCATTTATAAACAACATAACTTGATGTTACATCTTTAGGGCATAAAATAAGTGCTCATGGGTCTTGCATGAAACTCAGAGCCAAAAATACTCTTGAATAAGCCCTAACAGTTCATCATGTGAATTTTGAAATTATCATTAAGACATTTCAGAAACTCAATTAAATGTCACCATCTCATTGACATTGGAGCAAATCCCAGATAACACAGTACGAATTGAACAACTTAAAGCCTTAGTACCAATACTTTCATGGGAGTTGTATCCATATCACACCAAAATCACCCTTATTAGATGCCCATTAATCTACCTCTTAAATACACACAGATACATGTCCAACACCTGTTAAATGTATCCATATTAAAATTTCAATCACATTTTTATACTTCTTAGATTCTCCAAGAAACAAGTTTTCTTATCTAAGAAAAGATAATATAACATAACAAAGAATTTTTAATTTATAAATAAACTCATATCCTTTTTAAAATTCTTATACATATATACATAGATACATATATGTGTGTACGTATATATATACTGGTGTTTCTCAAGAGTTTTTTTTGTATCGCTGTGGATATCATAATTCCTCTACAAAGAAAAATGAGATGAACTGAATTGACCTGGCATTCTTAAAAATGAATGGTGTTGGTCTTCAAATCGACCATTGAGGCTAAACGCCATTAAAAAATTAAAAGGACAACATAACCAATGGGCATGTCAAACCTTGTTTTTCATTCGGACAATGGCATTAGTAATAGTCACTTTTGACTTATCAAAAACAAATAGCCACTTTTGAAACTTCCATGACATGCTACAGAAACAGAAATGTGAAAGCTTCACATATGTTGGTAATCCCTATTAGGAAATAGCAAGGGAAGGCTCACCATACACGGGTGAGATCATTGAAATCTTCTTTATTATTCAAAACATTATAATTACTGTTGGATACCTTACTGACAAATTGGTTCATAAATTCATGTGATAAATAATTTTTTGAAAGGCTTCATAGCCAAACCCACTTGTAAGATATCATTCTCAATATAAAATATTTGCAGAGAAAATAGAATTTAGAAAAATTAAGTGGTTGTATGCTAGTTTAGGTGAAATTGCAAGAGTATTTCCAGCAATTATAAAACATACATCCAATAATTCAATCATGCCATTAATATATATATATATATATATATATATATATATATATATATATATATATATTCTCATTCAACAAGAGTAATAAACTATATGTAAAATGTAATAGAGTCTTGATAATCACTACCTTTCTCTTGGAAAGATTAGGAAGTGAGAAGATGAGTGTAGAAACAGGAGCAGCAATCAATGTGAGCGCCAAGGAGCCCACGAACAGCCCTGGAAGGTGACCTATACCTAAAGATATAGCACCTTCATCGCGTAACGGAAGAACCACAAAATACGCACTCAAAATCTGCATATCAATTTTGAAGTATCATTACGGCGTTAGCAAAGAACCACAAATTATGTCAAAATATGAAGCATAATTTCTATAAGCGTAGAAAGGGAACAATTAAGTGGTTTCAGGGAACAAAAGATTCCTGCTGTTACAAAAATCAAAGTATTGACTTAACCAAGGGACTGGTAAATCTAAGATTCAAGATTTTCTTTCATTATTCTGAAAAATTCTCATCAACCAAACAGGGAAATTGGGCTAAGGAATCAGAACTTGAAGAACAATTTAGCGGAGAGCTTACAAAGAAGAAACAGGAAGACGAGTAGAACAATGCGGAGGTCTCGTGAGGGTGAACGAAGACGAACAACGACACAAACGCTTCTATGCGAGACCTGCTGATCATTTCTTCCTCCCTCTTTTCTCTCTATCTGTCCCGCTTTCTCTCTCTAAATTGATCGGAGAGAAAGAACAGTTAGAAGACGATTTGACGGTGTTTGTTGAACCTGCTTCGTTATTTTCTTTTTGTTTTATTTTCTTTTTATTTTTTTATTTGTAAGAACCATCCACGTGAATACCAGTTCCGTCCCATTTTAAATGATGAGAACCGTAACTCACAATTTAAAATGGGACCGTGGGAGTAATACAGAGTAATGATAAATAAAACATAATTTTTGAAATTATGTTTTTTGAGTTCACCTCACATTATTCTACTCATTGTTCTCGTTCTCTTCCTATCTTATCTTACCGTATTCTATTCTATTAATCCATTACGCTATGCACGTTCCGCTTCTACTTTGTAGCTTCCGTTTATGTTTTCTATGATTTTGATTTTGTCATTTTTGTACTTCACTCTGACTTTGGTACAATATATTGTTGTATGATAAAATTAAAAAATAAATTGTAAGTGTTTAAATTTTTATGTAATAATTAAAATTAAATATTTTTGATATTTTTTTGAATTTTAAGTGTTAAGCGATAACTAATGTCACTGACTTTGGTACAATATATTGTTGTATGATAAAATTAAAAAATACATACTAAAAATTTTAAAAATTAAATTGTAAGTGTTTAAATTTTTAAGTAATAATTAAAATTAAATATTTTTGATATTTTTTTGAATTTTAAGTGTTAAGTGATAACTAATGTCACTTAAAATCTTATCATTTTCAGAGTGATATTTAAAGTCCACTCTATAAAATTTGTTGATGTTTTTGGGGATGGGGAGGGGGTACTTAGGAAAATAAATTGAATTTAATATTATTCAGAAAAAAAATGAAAAAGAAAAATAACAAGTAGATTATATTTAGTAATTCAAAATATCTTTTTCCATTCAAAATACACTACTAAGAAGAGGTAAGTTGAGTTCAATTTTCGTTTGTTTTATACAATCAGTACGACATTATTTCTGACCACTAATATTAACATTGTGAGAATACGAATGCTGTGCATGTAATTCACTCCCCATGAATGAAACATATATCCAGTTGAGTTAATTAAATAAGTTTTAATCATTGGAGGAGAGACCATTTTGAATGTAGTTAAGTGTTTGCTAGAACTGTAATATATTAATACGAAAATTATAAAATCTCAGGTGCCTGCTGCTCTGGATTAATAGTGTGAGACCTTATTTAGTAGGAGATAATTTTGTGCAATCAAAATTAGATTGTGATAATTTTCCAATTAATTGGATAGGAAAAGAGCTCTGACATGACTCAGGTTTCATCTGGAGCAAATATTAAGAACATTCAGTGACAGACAATTTGGAGAAGAGTCATGGTATTGCAGAAAATCAGACATATCCGATCTCATTTTATGTGAATGGAAGGTGACATCAGTAGAAACAAATATAAATATAATTCAAGACCATTCTTACAGTAGCATTCTTAAGAATACGAAACAATTCTTGGCAGAAATAACCCCCACTGCATACAAAATGATTCAACCAATTGAATCCTTATCATATCATGAAATTACAATATACATCATTTGTAAACCTTTTATCCCCACAAATTGGTTGCATCACTTGAGATCACTGGAGCCTCTCCCTTCTGAGCCTCTCTAGCTCTTTGACCATTTGCCACCGTTCCAATGACAGAGAGGTTTCGCCAAAGCTTGCCGACATTAAGCGGCCCATTGTCAGCAATCTACAATTAAAAAGATCACAGGCTCAATATTACAAAAGACAATCGAAAACCATAGACAAATCTGGACTTGCAACTCGAGAAATTATTACATGGTCCCGGGACCAATCACCATGTGACATGCAACTCACCTGCTAAATTCTTGGCTGCCTAGGCTTCGATCAGCTTGCCTAGCTGCAACCATATCGTCTTCTACCACCTGCAACATATCAGACCATAACAATAAAGTCCACCCATGAATGTAAAATAATATAGCATCACATATATAGATATGCCCCAACCATGAATATGGAAGTAATTGGAAAAAAAAAAACGGCCCTCTTTTATTGGTCAATCTCACCTCTAGAACAGTTTAGAAATGCCTAGAGAGCACCATACTAGAACGGTTTTGACAAAATGACTCGTGCATTTGCAAGATAATATTTCATGTGTATTAAATGAAAAAGAAAACAGTCTTGCATTCACATTACCTCCACTCAACAACCTAAAAGTAACCATTTTATCAAGGTTCAAGTAAATATATATAAGCTATATAAGGATACCATCATAGAGCAACAGTAGTGGGACCAACGGACCAGTGACCTAGCGGTATCAGCCTCTTACTTCCCAAAAGGAGGTCAAAAGTTCAAGTCTCAGAAGAGACGTGTGTCTGATTTTCCAAAAATAATGGAAAAGAAAAGAAATTTAACAACATTTTTTTTCCTAGTTAAATTTAACAACATTACCATGGCATCTCAAAGGTATCTTTTGAGAGGGAAAACGAAACTCCGCTTTTCGCTCCATAGAAGCAAGATAAATAAAATCAAATGCCAACCTAACAATACTCAAATTACTTGAACCTTGATACCACCCATTATGACACCTTATTGAGGTGCGGAAATCACCAACACTTACACTCGTGCTGGCTCAACTATTGGCCAAAACTTGAGTGCCAGCACGTATATAGCAACAAACTCTAATTTCTGGTAACAGAGCACCTAATATTGGTCCTCTCCAAAGAAGTTCATAATGAAGTTAAACTTCAGAATAGGCAATGATGTCAGTCAAGTCATACCTTCTGCATATCTGGTTCAATAGAATGTGGCAATGATCTAAGAGTAGCCAAGTACCATCTCCAAGCTTTCAGTTCTTCTGCGTCCACAGATACGGACGAACCCGCTGATGATGGATGGAAAGGCAGAACTACATCTGCTGGCAGGATGTTTGATTTCCCCTCAGAAAGAATCAGTAATTGGACATCTGCTTCCATCTCCATTTTGTAATACTTAAAATCATATTCCACCTGAAAAAAAACATGTATTTAGCTCCAAAGAAGTGGTTGTAAAGTCAAATAGCCACTTCAGAAAGCACAAACACTGCATGATCTGGATTGTCTGTTGTTATAAACAAAATATTAGAGTGATTCAAACTTTGTGTCATTAATAATTTTCATAGACCTTATTGAAAGATTCAAGTTTCAACTATAGACGAACACCTACCAAAGCATGTGTACAAACAGGAAATAGGTAAAAAAAAAAAAGAAAAAAAGAAAAAAATAAAATAAAATTACCTTTTGGGACTCTGTTAGGTTCTTCAACAATCTCACGTTCTCAACCCCAGTAGAGCTGAGGGTCCCTGCTTGTAACTGGGTCTCATCGATCATCAAGTGTGAGCCCTCAGCTAACTGCAGAACTCCAGATACCAGCCTGGAGCATTAGGCATTCAAAATTATGAGAATTAATGATACTTATAGTCGGGTTGAGTCATACCTAATTCAAGGCAAAGTTCATTCTTCAGATGCACAAAGTTAAAATTCCAATTACCTGTTCGTTTCATAATCCTTTCTTGGGGCAAGTGAAGTAGTGTTCAGATAATCCACTGTAAGGGGTATACAATGTGTAAAAGGTAGAAGATTCTTGAGTGAAAGGTTGAGATGGCTTCCAAAAACAGACACACTTTCCTTGCTAAAGCAAGTAAGATTTAGCGCAAGCTTCCCCACGGCAAGTGTGTCTACCCTAGCGTGCACCTGCTATAATGAAACTAGTTACTCATGTCTAAGTACAAAAGAAACTCATACAAGGGGAAAGGAAATAATTCCAGATAAGAAGTTTGAGATCAAATGTTTGGTATAAAAATTGTTTCAGTAAGATGTGCAGACATGTCATGTAAAACAGAAAACTGTGATTATATGACGAAACCACATACCCTGGACAAAAGATGCAACAGCATGAAATGAGCTGACACACCATCGTGTCCAAGAACAGCTGTGAGATTCCCTAGCAAAGCCTCTCTTATTTCTTTCACCAAATGGGAGTTTGGCTGTAGGATCAAAACGTACAAGCTTAATTAAACATGGCAAAACAAAATTAAGAAATCAGACAAAGAGGAAAAACAACATTAGGTATGTATGTAAACATGCAATACACAGATAGGATGTGTAAAATTCCAATCACCTCCATCACAGGGGAACTAGAAAGAAAATCATTAACTGCAAGCTTTCGATGCACAAGACAATGGAGGCGTGGTACCTGAAAAAGGACCATATACAACAATATTTTATACCGGCAAAGAAAATTCTTAGCGCAGAAACGCAATAATAAAAAGGACTACCAATATAATTTCATTAAGAATAATTGGAAGCGTTAATGTGTAATGAAACTTATATATTGAATGCATAATGGAACTACACACAAAAAAGCCTATTTATAGGCATACAATCTTGGAGGCCAAGCTAAGTACGTGTGGTGTAGAAGTATACTATAGTATGTGTCGTGTACGAGTATAATATGTATGTACTATGTAATCTAACAGGGAGACGTCATGAGCTCATGGTGCACATAGCTAAGATTCAAAGAAGCAGAACAGAAATATGTAAGAACTTTGTAAGATTTGCACCATAGAATTCAAATATAGTCCTGGCCAATAATTAAAAAATAGGCATAAATCATTTTTAGAGAAGTTCAATGATTTCCTTTCGGATTTTATGATTCCTAATCAGAATCCCTACTACTAGCTTGCATAATTTTAGTTTAGATCAATAGAAAATGCTTCTAGAGATATTACGAGTTATAGTTAGGGTATTGCTGTGTACTTGAAAACAGAAGATTTAATCAATCATCAATAAAAGTTGTTATCCTGGTAGACGAAGGAAACTGTATGGATGGTGTAGCTTTATTAAGTTGAATTGTCATAAAAACCAGATCAAATTCTGTGTTATATGATTCCCTAGTCAATCTGATTTGAAATATTTTCTTTTAAAATTTATGGTTTAGTTCTACTTCAATGATTCAGGAGTTAGGCCGCCAAACATCATCACCATAATATGTACAATTATCAGCCAGACAGGTAAATGGACAGTGAAATCCTTTTTTCAGGCTTGAATAACAAACAAAGAGGGTGTTTAGCAAAATTTTCAGTCAAGTGGTGCCACTTAAATACCAGTAACATTAAAGAAAAAACGAGCCAATGCTTATTCACCATTGCTGGGTTTAACTGTTTAAGCAACATATCCAATGTTGATAAAACAGAAGTTAAAATTCCTGTAAGCAGTGTGAGGCAACCAAACACTTCAGCCTACCCATATGCTGATCAGGCTGATCATTGAGTATCAACATCTTTGATAATAATAAGAATAAACCTTAAAATGAACTTATCCTCAGAGTTCTGGAGGGCACAGGCTACATATACAAAATAGAAAAAGCAATACCGAGATATTCCGTCATAAAGAAAATATCAGTTAGTGAAAGATTGATTCAAAACCTTTCTGGGAGGCAAATGAGCTAATGCATCTTCACAAAAGCTATTTGCTAAATAATCAAGATCATCCTTTTCGACCGTAAATTCTGGATCAAAAGTAAGGACACCAACAAACTCAAAAACATCATTCAGCTTCATGTTAGACTCTGGAGAGTCATATATCTGCACAAAGCATTGGACATTTAAGGGGGAGCTAATATTGGTAGAGAACATTTTATGTAGGAGATACTGACTGCAACTGGAAGGAAAAAGAAAAGGCATAATCAAATTCACCTTCACAAGACAGGGAAGATAGTTTCTGTCATAATCGGGCAACATACTAGTACTAGGAAAAGTTCCCTCAGTTGTAGACTCCTGTTGAAGAGATAACTGGGACTGGAGTCCACCTTCTCGCTAGAAAAGAGAACCAAATATGAAATAAGAAAAATTGTTAATCACAAGTATATAAGAAGTTGCGAAATCAAAATTGAGTTGATTTTGTGGAAGAATTCATCTATCATGTCAAGGACAGGGAGAAAAAAGGTAGTATGGTTAACATGTTCTACCACCTCAAATTAATCAAGCTTCAAAGAAGATCCACCAAAAATGTTTTAAGATGATTTCTTGAGAGACATCTTAGTTACCCTTGAGAATCTGTCTCAATAATAAATATTTGGTCATTTGTGTACAGTTTATTAAGAAAATCATACGATGATTACTAATTTGATGACAATCAACCTCCTTCACTGAAAAGATGTGCAAGGCAACACACAAGCTCACCATTGGCATAACCCTTCAAGGTGTTGACACGAAGGCTTTCCAGAAACTAGTATTTTTATCAATTTCAGTTGATACCATATAACACAAGCATGAAACTATTATCATTCAAATTGAAGCTTCGATTATGAATTCAAAACAAAATTCACCACATAAATCAAACATAACTTGTGCTAACCATCAATTTTTTACTACTTTCAGTTGAAAAAAAAAAAAAAATCCTTAAAGGCAAACAACTGTGTTTGAATCATTTCTGCTTACCATCTTCTTAGTACATGGAGAACCCTGAAGCTCGTCATATGAGACCTGTCATCAAACACAATTTGTCAGATATATAAACTATGAACATGCAAGACCAACAGGAAAAGGCAATGCATTCTCAACATGCTAAACATTAAGAGAACATAAATTAACTAAAATCAATAACCCGAACTTTAATATAGGCATTCTTTATGAACGTCCCAATAATATGAGATATAACTATCTACACTGACACATATCAAACCACTTGGAAGCCTTGGAGATCTTCCCATTAGGACAACATGATGATGGTCCTACCCCCTAGCATGAATTCCATGTTCATTAAAAGGATTTTCATACAATTTATCTATATGATGTTCTTAAACAATTATTAGAAAGATTATGGTGGATATGCAATGGCAAATTGAACAGATAGAAATTACTTGCAGATCCATGCCATCAATAGCTGTATCATTCTCCCTCTGACGCTTCTCCCTTTGTTGGGTTGTTTGATTTGTAAATTGGTTGATAACAACTACTTCAGAAGATTCAGCCCACAAATTCTGCCCTGGAACCTAAAAAGAACAATAGAAGACAAGAAACCAAAGGATCTAATCATCAAAAAAATTGGGAGCAAACTTTTGACAAGATAAAGAGAGGTAAATAAATCAAAGCATCTAAACTTCAAAAGAAATTCCTGGGCGGACTTCTTCAGCATACAGCTCATCACTTATTATTATACTAACAATTGTTAAGCAGTAATGCGCATTTTCACTGAAATCAAACTCAGTGATTCCTGCATGCTAGCGGCTAGGAGTAGAACAAGAGTCAAAAGGGATGACACAAAGGACATTTTTTTGGCATATGGAAACTTACAGGAACACAGTATAGTAGACGCCGTTCCCAGACCCGCTTATCAGATGATGAAGACATGGAAAACTGAGAAACATCGGTAAACTTGTTGGTTCTCCACATTGCTCCATCCTTTAAATTGCAACAAATTAATTTAGAAGTCCAAAATTTAGCCAAAAAAATAAAAAGATTGAGATTTTTCACCATGTGATAAGGAACCAAAATACCTTATAGGCACCAACATAGAATTCATTACCCAGCATGTCTTGTATCATGCCTCGGAATCGAACTAGAGTGTTGGGTTGAACCCACTGGATATTTGTCCGATTAAGTATTGGCACCTGCATTTTCTCAAGACCAAATACAATAGTTCAGTTATAATGGAGAAAGAACATTTTTTGGTAAGTAAATCAAAACGTTCCAAAATGAAGAGCACAGCTACAAAATGATTTTTAAAGAAATGAGCATATATGGCACATAAACTGAGGCACTATAAACTTCCGAAAAAAAAAAAAAACTGAGGCACTATGCATAAGGAACATTTAGCTTAAGGTTTGAAGGATGGAGAAAAAAGGTAATTAAAAAGAACACTGAAAAACTTTTATCATCTCGAACTAATTGAGTTATACAAATTGCTCATTAAAATTTCAAATAAGAATTTATTCAAAAATTTAGCCATCTTGAACTATACAATTTTCATGTTAAACATTTCACAATAGAATTCATTCAACAAAGGATTGTATCATCAAAATGAGAACTTTATACTTGAGAAAACGCCTAATAACAAATATATTATTGATTGATTCCTCCATCAGTGATAATGCAATCAATTTGCTAAATACTCTAGATGAGAGGAACATGAATTGAAGTAATCACCAATTAGGTAATAGAAGACACTAATATTTTAATTCTAAACAAAAACCCTAGGTATCCAATAAAAACCTTGTACTATTCATGCCAATCTGATCAGTGCATACGAAGTTAGAGAAATATGGATTGGACCTGAGAGAGGGCACCGTTGTCAACAAGGAACTCGCGGAAGAGATCGGTGACGCCCCAGTCTCTGCCGTCGAAGGTGGCTGGATCGGAGCCTGAGGCCACCGCCTTCTCGAATGTCAATCGTACGGCTCCTAGAGGGTTCGCTAAGCAATCGTACGGTAATCCAACCATCTCTCCCTCTCTGTCTCTCACACACACACACACATACACGCCTCACCGAAATGGTATGGCTGCCGTCTGCGTTAGGTAAATGTGCGTTTTCCCGCCAAGTCTTGGGGACATTTCTTCCCGCCAATTTGGGATATGATATCATAAGTGCGGCTACAGGGTAATCAACTCATGTCAGGTTAATCAGATTTGGCGTCTTTTTTTTTTTTTTTTCCTTTTAATCTAAAAATCAATTTTTCATTAAATTAAAATTTTATGTTTCATTTCAATTTTGAAATGAATTCATGTAGGTCCAATTAATTAAAGGCATATAATTTTAATTTAGAGTGAATTATTTAGATTTAGTTTACATCGTGCATAAATAGACTCAAAAAAATCATTTTATAGATGATTTCAAAACATATTGCATAATTTGATCAATAGTGCACCCTCAATGTGGAAGCACAAGATTTATTACAAACTTAAATAAGTAATGGGGCATGCAAACGCCACTTGATCTTCAAGGGTGCGGTTAGCTTCTATGCAGGGCATTTAACTTGGATGATATCTTCAATGCCTTCCAAAAAGAGAAGGTTGGTGATTCACATTTTTATTAGGATTAAGTAATTCTTTATCTTTTAACCCATGTGTGAAAGAAAATGCTCCGTATTATTTAACATATTTGAACCACTATATTAATATTACGTCTTAATTACAATTGCATTCGATTGCTAATCCTAAATTACTTGGAAAATGGATCTCCTCATGTTTGCAGTAGTACAAAGACATCGTATTTTTGGTGCAATGCAAAACCTAATGTGGGTCCTACGTTGAAACTCTCTCACTAGTTTTTAACTTAAATAATACAAAAAAAAACAAAAAAAAAATTTATATATATTCTTTATTGTGTGGCAAGCAGGGCCGGCCTGGGCTTAGGTCGTCTATGACCTTCAATGTGAAAGAGTATCAAATTTAAGACATGGCCCAAACAAAAAAACCAAAAAACAAGGCACATATAAAAGATCTTACATTTAAAAATTCCCTACAGTCTCAAAATTTTGAAAATATCATGATCCGTTGTATTTAAGAAGTATGAGTTGCGAGAGAAAATATCTGGTAGGTAAAGGAGTTAATGATCATGGCTCATAGAGCCAAAAACCAATAAATGACAAGACTTGAGTTGTGAGGAAGAAAATATCTAGTCAAGAGTTAATAATGATCATGGCTCACAGACAGTCAAAGACCAATAAATGACCCACACTTCTTCTAGGCAATAGACAAGAAGGGCCAAAACAAAGGCAACTTGTCATAATAGACCAAATATCACAAGTTACACAATAATGGTAAATACAAGAAATTAACAATAAAATAAACAGTGTCATCATCATTCATCCACAGAATTATAATAACTTATACCAAAAGAAGCATATGGAATTAAGTTAAATCCTTACCACTTTTTTTTTCTTTTTTTTTTTTCATTCTCTTGATGGAGTACATAAACTGAAAAGAGTTTACTCTCAACAGCATAACACAGGTACTCATTAATCTGCACAATCATCTTCAACTTCCTAGCACTTCTCTATCAGATAAGCTCTATAAGACATTAGCTAACAACACTAGTTACATTACATGTAGTGCTTACACAACATAAACCATGCCAACCTCAAGGAGAGACGCTGGTGGCACCTTGAGTGCTACATCCGGTCCCCGGCAATTCCTCCTCAGGAAATTATACCCGTAATTGATAGCCAACCTCTTCAAAAGTGACGATCCTTGTTTTGCTCTAACATGTGAATGCCCAATAATGAATGCAGTCCCAGCTTGTTGAGCGGTGTATATGTCTTCTAATTCTTCTCGCAATTGCACATCTATTTCAGGACAGATATCAGGTTCGGATTCATCAATTGCAAACCTTACTCTCCTTTCCAAGACACCAATAGGCTCCATCTCAATGACATCCGTCACGCTCTCTACTGTTGGGAACCCAACAGATACACTTGCTGGCTGAACACTTTCATCAAGCTCAAAAGCTGGTGTGCCAGAGAGTGCTGCTGTTCCTATCACTGCCAATCTACATTCATTAGATGATACACCAGATCGAGATCCATCATCCTCGTTATATGAATTACCCATTCCATGTGTGTGACACCAATCATATTTGATAAAATTGGCCAGCCTTTCCACAAGTTCAGATTCAAAAGAATCGACATCCTGGTGAACATCACGGTACCCATAACGGACAATGCACCTGTAGGACCGGTGAGCTGCAGGACCAACCCGGCCAACAAGATATCGCTCGGCCGGAGGCACAAATGGGACCGGTACTGATTTCACACACACAAAGACAAGAACACGATGGAAGGCAGGGAGGTTGGTGACAAAGCGAGAGAAGTTTGCAGGGATGCCAGAGGTGAGATCGCTGAACACTAGGCCAATGCCAGGGACTCGAGCAATGCCCAAGCTTGGACCCAAGGCTAATAGCCATTCCAATGAAACCTTGTTGTGGAGGTCATATTCATATTTCTTTATGGTGGCATAGTGCCAAACAAACATGATGGTCACGAGAAAGAGGGCTAGGAGGATAGGCAACCAGGCACCATCACGAAACTTGA